CACTGTTCTCCTTTTATGTTGGAGCTGCCACATATTTTACATCTACATACATTGAAAACCCCACCAGACAATGTTGTCATTTTTACCATCAACATATTGCAAAGACCTTAAGAGGGAAAATAGCACTTACCCGCTATTTTCCATTTCTGTTGTTTTTTCTTCATTTCTAAGTTCTCCAGCTTTCCTCTGGTATCATTTCCCTCCTGAAATCTTAAGATTTCTTTTAGAGTTGTCTGCTGGAGCCTAATTTTCTTACTGTCCCTTCATCTGCGAGTGTCTTTTTTCTTTTTTTGACCACACTGCATGGCATGCGGGATCTTAGTTCCCCAACCAGGGGTTGAACCCTCGCCTCCTGCAGTGGAAGCTCAGAGTCTTAACCACCGGACTGTATGGGAAGTCCCGTGAATGTTTTTATTTCCCCTTCATTGGTGGAAATAATTTTGTGGGAACAGACTTGAGAGCTGGCAGTTCTTTCCTTTGAGCACTTTATACAGGTTGTTCCATTGTCTTCTGACCTCCGTGGATTCTGACGGAAAATTGGATGTTTTTCAAATGGTTCTTCCTCTATATGTGATGTGTCATTTTTCTCCAGATGCTTTCAGGACATTTTTCTTTACCCTTGGTTTTCAGCGGGTCGAAGTGTGGTGCATATAGGCTTGATTCTCCTCAAGTTTATCCTACTTGAGATTCCCTGAGATTCTTTAATCTGTAAATTTATACTTTTCATCAAATTTGGGAAGTTTTCAGCCATATTTTTTCAAATACTTTTTCTGGGTCAACCCGTTATGCCTCTCATCCTGGGGCTCCAACGGCAACAAATGTTAGCTCTCTTGATGTCATTCCACGGGTCCCCAGGCTCTGTTCATTTTTTGTCAATCTTTTTTTCTCTTTGTCTTTAATATTGGATAATTTCTATTGGTCCTCAAGTTCACTCACTCTTTCTTCTGTCTTCACCACTCTCTTATTAAGCCCACTCAGTGAATTTTTTATTTCTGTAATCATATTTTTAATTTTAATACCCATTTGGTTCTTTTTTATAGCTTTTATATCTCTGCTGAAAATTTTTACCTTTGCATTTGTTTCAAGGGTGTTTTCCTTACTCAATGGAGCACATTTTAAATAATTGATTTAAATGCTTTATGTGATAATTTCAACATTTGGATCATCTCACATTTGGCATCTATTAATTGTTTCTTTCTCTTACAAATTCTTGAGATTTTCTTTGTTGTTATTGTTGTTTGAGTACTTTTCGATTGTGTCTTGGACATTTTAGATATTATTTAATGAGGCTCTGGATCCTATCAAAACCTTCTCCAATGTTCTTCAACATTTCTCTCTCTCTCTCTCTCTCTCTCTCTCTCTCTCTCTCTCTCTCTTTTTTTCTCGCCATCAGCCCTGTTGGGTCAGACCACAAGTTCAGACCTGCCTCCTGTGGGCTGTGGTTCCAATGTGAGTTTAGTTTTCAAAGTCTCTGCTGTGCTACTTGGATCCATCTTGCACTTGCATCCCCCTGGTCCAGTTTTCAACCTTGGCAGTGGTCTACACCACGATTCAATTCTCAAAGCCTTTGACATGGTATTTGGGTCATTTCCACATATGTCCAGCTCAGGGGTGAGTCTGGAACTTCATATAAAGCTTTATAGAGGACTTTCCTGGTGGCGCAGTGGTTAAGAATCCACCTTCCAATGCAGGGGATGCAGGTTCGATCCCTGGTCAGGGAACTAGATCCCATATGCATGCCCCAACTAAGGTTTTGCATGCAGCGACTAGCAAGCCTGAGAGCCGCAACTAAGGAGCGGGCCTGCCACAACTAAGACCTGGCGCAACCAAAATAAATAAATAAAATTTTTTTAAAAAGGTTCTATAGGGTCTCTTTCTTAATCTCCTTCTTATTAATTTCTCTGATGCTCTCTGGCTTCCCGACTCTTCCTTTCCGGGTCTTCTGGCTATAAAGCAGGAATTTTAGCCTCCTGCACTGTCACATGCTTCCTGTGCCTAGATCCACCTCTGGGTCAAAGTGACGATTACAATAGCTTCTGCCGCTATAGCTGCTGCTACCACCATCTTGGGAGTGTGGCTTTGGGACAGAAATTTGTCTCTGGGGCAAGACCAGGAAAAAGAAAATGAAATAGGGTATTTCTCTCACTCTCTCTGTCTTTCAGGGCATTGCTCCTCCCAGCCCACTGACCAGAAAGGAGGGGTTCTCTTGGCTGTGCTCACTGTGCTGTCCTGGGGTGCAGGCTACCTGGAATCTCACGCAGGGGATGTACGGGGACAAGACATTTGCTACCATATCAGCCTTTCATCAGGTTCTGATTTCTTACCCCAGTCTGTCTAGACAGTTGCTTTATTTTATTCTGTGTGATATTTTTAGCTCTGGTCAGTGTAAAGGTGGAGTGCAGTGTGCTTACCCTGTCTTAGCTGGGACTGGAAGATGTTGGTGCTTTTTTTTCTTATTCTTAATTTCAATTCATTTTTTACAGCTTCATTAAGATAGAATTTGAATGCCAATATCCACTCATATTAAGTATACAATTTAATGATAATGATTTTTAGCTGAATTTACAGATTTGTGCAATCATCACCACAATCTATTTTTAGAGCATTTCTGTTACCCCCAAAAGATCCTCATGCTCGTTTGCAGTCACTCCCCGTTAGTTCCTTTTTTTTTTTGAATTTTCTTTTCTATACAGCAGGTTCTTATCAGTTACCCATTTTATACATATTAGCGTATATATGTCCATCCCAATCTCCCAACCCATTAGTTCCTTTTCAAAAAAGAAAATAGATTATCTGAAGACTACAGAAAAGGGTGGAGATCAGCATCCCTACGCCCTTGTACCCACCATCCAACTTCATCAAATCTGAATATTTTGCTTTACTTCGCCAAGAATTTTTTCTTCTTTCTTCCTCATAAAACTACCCACCCCACCCCTGATTATTTGGAAGCAAATCTGAAACATCCCGTCATGTCCTGTGCAAATATCTTAACATGAGACTCTAAAAGGTGACGGTTCTTTAACATAATCACAAAACCTTTAACACGTCCAAAAGTTTAACAGTAATCTGTTAATGTCCTATGGTCTGTGCACTGTGACTGGTTGCTATTCTCTCCCATCTCTTATCTCGGGTTCCCACACCTCCTCTCCTCTCTGGCAACCTGCTCTTCATCCTGGGGGCTTCTCTCCAGCCTGGATTTTGCTCACTGCATCCCTGCCAGACCCTTAACCCAGCCCTCTGTCCCCATTGCTCCTATGTACTGGGAGGTGAAGTGTTGACGTGATTCGGGTTCAAGAGTAAAAGTTGTGATTTTTATGTTATTTCCTTTATGATTAACTTACTTTCTCTTGCTGTTTTCTCCAAGGCCTAGGACAGCAAGCAACTTGTGTCTGTGAGTGGAGTGTGTCCTTGTGGTGTCACAGCCAGCGACAGTCAGTGCTTCATGTGGTGAGTCACCAGGGGGCGTGATTCGGGGACATTCTCAATCTCTGCCTCCTTTTTTGTTGGTTTTTCCGGAATAGTTCCATAAAGAGGAAGTTCCCTTGATAGAGAACATATCATTGGGGTTTGTTCTATTTTTAAAACTCATCAAGACTATATTTGAGGAAGGTGAGCCCTTCAGAGGTGCTGTGACCCTGGAACTCTGGATTCTCCGGAACTTCTGAAAGCATCCCTGATACCTTATTGTGTGTTCTTAATTCACAATCTTTCTTGTTTGTTCTGTTTCCCTTGCCTTAAAAAAAGGATTTGTCATATTTTCTTCTTTTTCAGATGTATACTTCCTAGTTCTGTTCTTTAGGAGAGTTTTAATTGTTGTCACATATAAAATTAAATATGGCCTAGCAAAGTGTCCATTGATGAGTATCAGAAACTGCAGCATGCACCCCTGCTCATCTGTTCTGCTCCTCTAGGATTTTTGTTTCGAATTGTTAATATTTTTACCTCTGTTTTAAAATCAGCAATTACTTAGGCTTAACAATGTTTCCTTATTTCTGTGGTCACCTTTCCCTCAGGGACCCTTGGGTTCCTCTTGGATTCCTTCATCCGTCTGTCTTTATTTCGGGAGTGCATCTTCCAAATAGATTTTAGGGTAGTTACGTCTCTGAGCCCTGGTTCATCTGAAGGCTCTGCTTTCTGCTTCTTTGTGGATGTAACCAGTGTCTCCTCTTCTGCTTCCCTTCCTCCCCACCCTAACCCTCCCCTTCCCTCGTTCTCTCCCTCTGTCTGTCTCTGTCTCTCTCTGAATCTGTCCTGTTTTCTTTCTATCACTAATGTTCTGTGCTTCCTCCCAAGCCACGCGGCAGCCTCTTCGTCTGGGCCCGGTCCTCTCTCTCGGGCCTCGTCTTCTGTTGTCCGGGTCTCTCCCCTCTCCGTTTACTGTTCTCTCCTGGAATTGCTGCAGGCAGGGCCGGGCAGATGGACTTGCCTCTTCCCTGTCCCGTCGTCCTCCCGAGCCAACGCCCTCATCCTGCTCTCCAGCTGATTTGCTCTCCAGCTTCTTATTCTGCCCTTTGGCCCGTGTGATGCTTTTTAATTTCCGTGACCCAAGTTTGAGTCCCCAGTGCCCGTCTGTTCTTTGGCGGGTGCGTGCTCCCCTCTCGTGTGCACAGTCTGCAGGCCGGGTCCCTTCCTGGGGTGAAGATTCCTGGGCACTGCCCTCCAGGGTTTTCTGTTCCCTGCGGGGCACGGCCACCCCCTCGGCCCGTGGGGGCATCGCATGGTGCCGCCAGAGGCCCCGCTCCCACCACATCCTCCCCGCACGCTGTCCCACTTCCAGCTGTGAGCGTGTGTGACGGGTGGTGTGTTCCCATTGTGTGTTGCTCCTCTGACAGCCCTCTGTCAGGGGCCCTGTCGGCAGACGGGCTGAGGTTGGAAGGGGCACATGTGGTGCAAAATCAGCCACACGTAATTACTTCCTCCAGTTCCTGACTTAGAACAGGAAGCATCGTGCCTTCACCAGTGGAGTCTCGGGCGGGCCGGCGTCTTCCCACACCCGCTGCAGCACCGGCCTGGTGAATAGCGGAGCCCAAGCCCCTGCCAGCCCAGCCAGGACCAGCCCTGCTGAGACCTCCAGGGCATCGAGCAGGTGAGTGGACAGAGGCCCCTTTGTCTCTGGGCTGGTTTCTCTGAAGGGGAGCAGCTCAGCCCTGAGGCTCTTCCCTGGCCATGGCTGCTGCCTTTCCCAAGGCAGGCAGCTCCAAGGGTCCCAGCCTGCAGAGGCCCTGGTGGCCCTGGTCCGTGTCACACACCCTGGGATCGTCCACTCTAGGCCCCCTGAGCTGAGATCCGGCAAGGGGAAGTGCTGAGCCCACCGTGGGCAAAGCTAGTGGCGGGGTGATGGGAGGGATGTAACCAAGGAGATGGGACCGGCATGCTGGAAGGATGCACTCAGACCCCAGCCTTGGCTCCCCTGGTGAGGGTCCCTCAACAAGCCCCAGGCACTTGCTGAGCCCCCGATGCGGGGGCTGTGAGGCCGGGCAGAGCCAGGAGGAGGCTGGGGGACAGGCAAAACCCCTGTCTGGTGGGTATGGGGCCGGCACGGCTAGGCTGTGCAGGAGGGGCCCTGGGCCTCCCCAGCTGCGCCTTCCACTTCCTGCTTGAACGGGTCCCGTTCTTTCTTCACAGCTCTGTGGTTGCCGGGGTGGTTCTGTCCTCCAGCAGTGTGTGTGTGTGTGTGTGTGTGTGTGTGTCTGTGTGTGTATGTATGTGTGTGTCTGTATGTGTGTGTGTATGTGTGTATGTGTGTCTGTGTGTGTACGTGTGTATGTATGTGTATATGTGTGTGTCTGTATATGTGTGTCTGTGTGTATGTGTGTCTGTGTGTGTATGTATGTGTGTCTGTGTGTGTATGTATGTGTATGTATGTGTGTCTGTGTGTCTGTCTGTGTGTGTCTGTGTGTGTGTGTCTGTGTGTGTATTATGTATGTGTGTGTGTCTGTGTCTGTGTGTCTGTGTGTGTATGTGTGTCTGTGTCTGTGTCTGTGTGTTTGTGTGTCTGTGTCTGTGTGTGTGTCTGTGTATGTGTCTGTGTCTGTGTGTGTCTCTGTGTGTCTCTGTGTGTGTATGTATGTGTGCCTCTGTGTGTGTGTCTGTGTGTATATGTGTATGTGTCTGTGTTCTGTGTGTATCTGTGTGTATGTCTGTGTGTGTGTCTGTGTCTGTGTGTATGTGTGTGTGTCTGTGTTCTGTGTGTGTCTGTGTGTGTGTCTGTGTGTGTGTGTCTGTGTGTCTCTGTCTCTGTGTGTGTGTGTGTGTCTCTGTGTGTGTGTGTGTGTGTGTGTGTGTGTGTGCACGGTACATTGTCTCGGGGGTGGGTCTGCTGCTTCTCTGGGACTCCCGAAGGTTCACCAGCTCTGGCCTAACGATGTGAACACGCTGGGTGACAGTTAAGCTTTAGGGGGTGAGGCATTGGGTGTGTGACCTAAACCTCCCACAACCAGGCCCCTGGAGGCCTGTCCCCTTAGGAGTGGGGGGGCTGGGGCCCAAGGACCCGGACAAGCACCGGGAGAGGGGACTCACGGCTGCCCCAGGGCTTTGTCCCGACGGGAGTGAATGGAGACATTTCTCGAGGGGCTCGGCCCAGCAGCCGGACACCGCTCCACTGGCCTCGGGTTTCTCAGCTGAAATCCGCATGGATTTGTCTGCCTGCGGCTGTCAGCTTGCCCTGTGCCGGAGCGAAGACCCAGGGCCTGTCACGGTCACTTCCTGGAGATTTCACGAGGGAAGACACCCCAGACAGCCGGGGGCCCAGCAGCTCAGCAGAGGGGTCACCACTGTCCAGGGGATGCGAGGGGGATGCGAGAGGCCTGCCTGCACCCCGCCAAGGTGGGCAGGAGATAGGCCTGCTGCTGGGCCTCCCATCTGTGAAATGGGCCCGTATTTTCACTTCAGCTGACTCTATATCAAATTGTAATTCAAAACCCACTTCCCTGGAGGGGGCGAAGGTGTGGGCCTGCGTCTACAGGGTCCCGCGGGTTTAGCTCAGGCCGAGCTCCGCCGGTTACAGGGCTGTGGAGAGGCGTCCGCCCCACTAATGGGGCAGCACGGAGCCCGCAGTGGCCTCTCCTGACTCAGGCCCCGCCAGCTCTAGGAAGAGTCCTGGGTGGCAGGGTCCGGCAGCCTGCACACCTGTCACCGCGAGCGGCCCACGGTCCCGCCTGAGCCCACGTTGTGGGACAGCTGCCGGCAGTTAATAACTGTGTCCCCAGCTGAGAAGCCCCAACCAGCGCTCCCTGCCAGCACTAGGCAGTCTCCTGGTGACGGCACGGTGACACCACCAGGCGGGCAGGGCTGGGATGCTAGTGTGGTCACTGTCCGTTTCCCTCTGCACAAACTGGACCTAAAATGGGGTGTCGGTTCTGTCATCACCCAGACCTGCCCGAGCGGGGAGCTGAGGCCCGATGGGGGCGCTGAGGCCCCCAGGGAGAACGCGGCTGGCGGGGGAAGGTGCCGAGTCCCATGGGCCCCGGGATGCCGAGACCCACCTGTCAGAGCCGTACTGCCACGCGTCACCTGCCTGGCTGCTGGGGCCCCGTCCCCTGTCCCCTGTCAGGCTGGTGGAGTCCACGTTCAGCTGTAGCAGTGTGCGGGGTCTCCAGACTGCTCAGAAAGAGCCCCTGCCTTCCCGCTCCTGGACAGGGTAGGCCATGTAGAGGGGAGTCCTCCGTGGGCTTCCAGTCCAGGGGTTTCCAGTCTCTCCCACCGCTGACGAGTGGGTGTCTTGGTGACATGGCAGGTGCAGTCAAGTCCCCGAGCTGCCAGCCTGTGACCGGGCAGGCCTTCCTGCCTGGTTCCAAGGTCCCCCGCCACCAAAAGCCAGGGGTGTCCGGGCGGCTCACCCTCCCAGCAGTCGAGCAGCAGGGCCAGGGTTGCCTGGGAGCCAGCAGACCCTGTGGCTTCCGTGTGAGCCCTGGCACGGTCTCTGCTCAGCACAGCACCCCACGCAGCCCAGGGGGTGGGGTGCCACCACCGCAGGGCTCTGATGGCGGTGGAGAGAAACAGGAGCCCGGTACCCTCACTGCCTCTGAAACACACGGAGCAGGAAAGCACGGCTCTGCCCGCTCACCTCGAAGTGGTGTTGAAAAACCCTGAACCTGGGGTGCTCATGTTGGGGTCTGCAGTAGTGCGGGCTCCCCAGAGAGACAGAACCAATAGGATGTGTGCCCGTGTGCGTGTGCGTGTGTGTGCAGGCAGAGATTTATTTTGGGGCTTGTACGATTGTGGAGGCTGACAAACCCCAAATCTGCAGGGCGGGCTGGAGACCCAGAGGAGAGGTGACATTGCAGCTTGAGCCCAAGGCCGTCTGGAGGCAGAGGTCTCCCCTCCTTGGGGGACATCAGTCTTTCCTTTAAGGCCTTCGACTGGTTGGATGAGGCCCGCCCACATCATGGAGGGCCATGTGCTTTCCTCAGAGTCCATGTACGTAATGTTGAGCTCATCTAGAAACACCTTTGCAGCAAACATCCACATCCAGACCAGGGTTTGAGCAAACCTCTGGGTACCACGGCCCAGTGGAGTTGGCACGTGAAATTCACCGTCACAGCATGTGACAAGGAAGGAAACTGAGGTCCGGAAGGGGAAGTCACCTGTCCACACTCACTCGGCAGCTGGGCGCAGACTTGAGCGTGTCAGCCCTGGGGTCAGGGTGACGTGGACCCCCGTCCTGGTGTCTGTCCTGGCTGTGTGGCTGAGGGGCTGACCCTCTCAGAGCCCTCCCTAGGAACAGGCAGCAGGTTTGGTCCGCCCCCAGGGCAGCTGCGGGCGAATCGAGGCTGTGAGTGCAGAGTATAGCCAGGCCAGCAGGGTGGCTGCCGTGGGCAGTGCCCTGCCCTGGTCCTCTGGGATCTGGGGTCCTGAGTGGCTGTCCAGGCAGGGACCGCCGCCCACTAGCTGAGGCTCCCTTGAGGACTGACCATGTCTGCCGTGGTCCCCAGCGCTGTGGCCCAGCCTTGCACAGCCACTGCCCCCTGCCCAGGCGTCGTCACAGAGCAAGCCACGGCCCCTTTCCCATTGGCAGGTGTGGGGTCAGGCCCCTCGGATGCTCAGACCTGGCCAGTCTGAGATGCAGAGGCCTCCGCACCCATGTGGCTTGATTCCGCTGCTCTGGAAGCTTCCGGAGGGAAGGTCGTCCGGGTGTGTCACACCCTGGGCTGCAGCCAGAAGTAGTTGGAAGGGTTCCCTGCTGGCTGAGGAGCTAAGGTCAGGGGCTGAGGTCAGCCTCCTTGACGGACGAGACCTCAGCGAGCCAGGGCTCCTGCCTGACGGGCCTCCGTGGGCATGGGGCACGCGTTCTCTCACAGTACTCCAGGGGCTGGGGGTGCACAGAAAGGCAGCCCCTCGGGAGCCATGCTTCCACCAATTTACTTTCTTTGTAAACATATTTTTATTTGTATATGGTTACAAAAGACAAAACAAATGCTTTACAATTGGTTGCAAGTTGGAAGCATCCAACGGTGGTCTGGAGGCCCTTGCTGAACACCTAGTGATGAAAACCCACCAGTTCATTTTTAAATAGTATGGGTGTGGCCATGCGTTGGTGTCGGCAGCAGTGGGGCTTTCGGGTGTGATGGGAATCTGGGAGGTGCCCTAAGGTCTTGGCAGAGGTCAGAATCCTAGAATCCAGGAGAGCAGTGCCCAAGGGCCAGACAGGCAGCGCTTGTTCAGTGAATGAATGAGTGAGCGAACGAGCTATGAGCAGACGTCCCAGCAGGGGGTCACTGTCCTCAGAAGCGTCCGCAGTGGGAACAGAGAAACTGACCGCTTTAGGAATCTGGAGACATTTCCAAGCAATTCCTCAACCACCACGATATTCAGATTTTCTTAAATGTATGAATTTTTTAAAAAATCATTATATATGTTTATTGTAGAAGGTTTGGAAAATACAAACCAGAATAATGAAGAAAATTGAAAATACTTATAATGCCACCACACAGAAGAAACATGGCCTATTTTGGTTATTTACATTTATTGTTTTCCCGCTCAGCGACTTTTGATTGTAAAAATTGAGCTGCGAGCAGCCGTTCACACATTTTCATGCCATGTAGGTTCCACTGGGTGGGCCTCACGGATGTTAAAAACAGTGTCCAC